CAGTGTATCTTCTTGTTTCTATAGTTTGTTAGTCTATCGTATGCGTGAAAGTTTCTCTGTGCTCATTGAAAATCTGATTTGAAGGGGTGGGGCCCACCAGCATGATGTGTGACATCACAAATAGTTTGGAAGTCAGTCCTAGTCCAAACACGAAGGTCCACTAGTGCACATACACTGAATATGGTAAATGGACTGTACTTATAGCGCCTTTCTAGTTTTCTTTTCCGACCACTCAAAATGCTTTATACACTTCGACATAACGTCGAGACAGACGACCTGCTCTATTTGAAAAGTGTCCTGAGATAACTTCTGTTATGAATTTGCGCTATACAAATAAAATTGAATTGAACTTCATTAATATTCACACATTTTGTAGTAAGTATGTTATTTCTCAAGGACACTTCGGCATGCAGCAGGAGCAGCCAGGGATCGAACCAACAACCGTCCGATCAGTGGATGAGCCACTCTACCTCTGAACCACAGTGGACTTTCCAGTCAAAACTTTAGAAATGATACATGACACATTGCATATTCATAAATTAAAACATTTTGAATGAGGATTTTAATATGGAAATTAGAAAAAATAAGAAATAAGTTTAATAACTTTGATGACCACTGAACCATTCATATAATATATATAATACATGTGAAAATACTTGCTGAAAAAACCTACTGGTCACCGGTGAAAAGATGTGCCAGATTGGTTCAAAAGTTAAAGACATTGATTAAGTGTTCATAAATGGATCATATTTCACCCAGCTTTGCAAAAGTAATGCAAATTAAAGCTGCAAGCAGTGATGAGCAAGCATAGAAGATGAAAACTACAATCACTGAACAACTTTACTAAAAGTCATTGCCTAATATCAAAATTTAAATATAAAAGCTTTCACTATATCATGACAGTAGTACACAAGAAAGATAATCAGGTTTCTCCTAGTGCTCCTAATGGCATTTGCAAAAATCCACCAGGTCTGAATGAAAACAACCAATTAAAGCCAAGAAATACAGTTGATTGTTGAGCCTCATTCCCAGCATCGATATTTGACGACCTGATAACAATCAACTGTATTCAAGCCACCAATCCATAGTGTCTTTCCATCTGTCTCGGCTCTGATTGGTTGTTTTTACCTACTGCAGCTTTAAATTCCTACCAAATGCCAAATTGTTCATGGTCAGATGTTCATACTGTACCCTAGTTTCGGTAGTGGTACAAATATCCCTTACTTAAGATTTTGTTCCCTTGTACCTACATGTTAACCTCACTTTGCCAGATGGTTTGTTACACAGAACCATCTGAAAAGTCGTTATTGGAAGCTGTTTAGAAAAGGGCAGGCACTTTCAAAAAACACTCGGCAAGTGATTGGTTAAACCATCTGATCATAAGATCAAGATGTCCCCTCGGTACTGTGCTCTCTAGTACTTTTTGTGTTTTTGTTTATTTGTTCTAGCCTCTGCTCTCTTTCTCTGGTCACATATATCAGAGATGAGCTCTTAAACACTGGACTCTCCACTGCACAATTTATAGCTCCAATTTTAATTGATCCAGTATCTTTTCCGAAGTTGTTAGTTGGAGGAGCAGCAGCTGTCTACGGGATTTGCTGGAGATGCTGGAGACACAGAGCAAGGGTGCCGGAGGGCTCGTTAAACTGAGACAGCAGGGGTTTCGGACTCTCTGATCACTGCCTGATTCATCTTATCCTGACATACAGGCAGAAACTTAAATCTGCTAAGCCTGTGTTCAAGATGGACCAATGAGTCAAAGCTGGAACTACAGGCCTGCTTTAACTGCACTGATTGCAGTGTTTTTGAGGCTGCAGCTACAAAAACTCACTGACACTGTGACATCCTACATTAGTTTTTGTGTGTGCCAACTAAGACCTTCTGCACATACAACAACCACAAACCCTGGTTTACAGCAAAGCTCAAGCAGCTTCATCAGACTAAGGAGGAGGCCTACAGAAGTGGGGACAGAATCCTGTACAAGCAGGCCAGAAACACGCTGACAAAGGAAGTCAAAGTGGCAAAGAGGAGATACTGGAACACAGCTTCTCAGCAGACGACCCTGGGTCAGTGTGGGGAGGTCTGCAGATTATCACCAACTACAGGAGACCATCCTCCCACACTATGGAGAAGCATCAACTGGCTGACCCCCTGCCACCCTGCCACCCCTCCCCTCACACCCTCCAACCTGTACTTAGGATCTGTAAAAATGATGTGTGTCAGGTCTTTCCGAAACGGAAGATCAGGAAGGCATCAGGACCCGATGGAGTGTAACCATCCTTGCTGAAAATCTGTGCTGACCAGCTGGGGAACATCACATCCAGCACCCAGACAATTAGCACTGGCGCCCCCCAGGGGTGTGTGCTCTCCCCGCTGCTATTCTCCCTCTACACCAATGACTGCACCTCGAAAGACCAGTCTGCCACCAAACAGGATAAGAACAGACTACAGCGGACAGTCAGGACTGCAGAGAGAATCATTAGTGCCAACCTGCTGTCCATTCAGGACCTTTACCTGTCCAGAGTCAGGAAACGGGGACACAGGAACAGTTTCTACCCACAGGCCATCACTACCCTGTACAATAACCCGAGGACTCTTTAATAAACCATTCATTCCTTTTTTTCCATTGCTGAAAATTCTGTTTCTTTGCATACTGTATATACTGTTATATCCACCTACCCCATGCACATAAAAAAAAATGTCAGCATCTTTTGCACTCCTTTCTACTCTATTGTCTACTGTCTACACATGTTTGTTTATAGATATGTATAACTGTACATATAAGTCTATGTCTTTTTTTGGTTGAACTTGTTCTGTTTACTTATACTGTTAACCTGTGTTTGTACATTGAGAGCAAAGTAAAACCGGAGTCAAAGTCTGATTTGTATATCACAGTCCATCACAGGCAAACTTCAACCACCCAAGTCAATGAACCATATAACATAGTCAAACTCTTACTGAAGCCAGTCAGGAGAAGAGTGAAAACATATTTTCCATGGAGCCTTCAGTGCCGTTCTTTGCTCTTCTTTCAATGAAGAAATACTCTCCAGTTCTGATAGAACTGATGCTAGCAGCATCTTACGCTAACCTCTTTAGCAGCCAGCATTGTTGTTATTGAGCAGTCTCTTCTCACACACGTCGTCACACACACCTAGCATTAAACCGTGTCTGTAGCTCATGCTGTAGCTGACAGTAGTTCCTCACAGGACGCTGTGGTTCAGACACAAACACATATGTTGAACCCTGGATTCACACATGACCTTGCAAGTCCAGCTGCCTTGCTAGGTTACCTACATGTATGTATCAGTACTGGTACACTAAATAATTACACTGTATGTTTCAGGCCTTGATCCAAAGCATTACCAAAAAAACAACAGACCTTTTTCACAGCAGCAATTTTGACATGAAGTAGTAGGGCAAACACGTTACCAATGATACTAATGAAACAAAGTTTATATCTGATATGGGAGGGAATGTATTTCTCAGAATTACTGATAAAATAAAATATGACATTTAATATTGCTCTGTAGATTTGCAAAATCACTTTCTTAGATAAATACAGACTTTTAGCATGCTGGTCTCTTTCAGGGCCAATTTCCTGCTTTCCTACAGAGTCTTAATTGATCTTTGATTGATTGAAGTGTAGACACAATTAAATCAAAACCAGTAGATCTGCAATTATACAGATATATCAAAGAGGCGTTGGTTCAATTATGGTCATTATTGTGGCTGTGGTTTATGGTGTATGAGATCACGCCCTGCAGTGCTTTGGGACAGTGTCTCGTTGACAGAGTGCTGTCTTTAGTTTGTACATTCAGTGGATCACCTCCTATAAATAAATATTTGATAAACTCAACGTTATTCAGTTCATATTAAACTCTGTAACTTTAGTTAAAAGTAGTAGCAACCCAAATATATTGGCTATAATAGTCTTGAGGTATTTGCAGAAAGAGTTCCCAGTTGTTGTCTGACCCACAATTGGCCTTCACGTGGCTCACTAAATATAGAAATCCTGCAGCACCTGTTGCCCCTGGTGTATGATAGAGAGCAAGACTATTTGCATTTAGAAATCAGAGGACCATAATTGCATTTGCAGTGAGTGGGAGTGGAGTGGAGCAAGATGATTTAAAGCTGCAGTAGATAACTTTAAAATAACTAGAGATGACAAAAAAATAAATAAATAAAAAGAAGATGACAAAAAAGAACTTTTTGTTATTTGAAAAATTCCTACTGCAGCTTTAAGTCTTGAGTATTTACATTTATACAATACTTCTTCCTATTTCTATGACATCTCAGGAGGAAATATTGTATTCAGCTCCACTACATTGATTTTACATTAAAAAAAAAAACATTAACAAATAATCTGGTTTGGGGAGTAAGGAATTAGATGTAATTTAGTTATCAAGCCACAAAAAACCTGTAATCCCTTACAGTTGACTGACTTTTAATAATGAAAAACAATATCTGACCTATAGTAAAAGTCATCTTATTGATATTTCTTTTCTCTTGTCTTTATTTGCATATTTGGTGTTAAGGTAATTCAAAGGTACTTTAAACTTGGATTAATTCAATTTAACTGATGATGTATTAAGTGTGAACTAATCACATAGAGTATAGTGACTTGATCATTTGTTTGTGGTGAGCAACATGAATTTATGGTACATCCTGCATTTTTCTTCATGCATTATTTAAGCATTAGTTAGGTTTATTATGTATAGCCTTTTTATAATTGTTACTTTTATTTTAGTTTAGTAAATAACAAAACATCCTCTGTTTAGATTGCTGGGATACAATTGATCTGATTAAACTGATGACTGACTTCCTGTAGTGTAAATGTTTGTGAAGGTTGTCAGAGTCTCCATCAGGCTCCCCCAGGACCCCAGGCAGTCAGGGGAGAAAGAGTCTATAGAGTCAATAATGGATCTCCCCGGGGACCTCATAGCAGCGTTTGTAATGCGCGTATGGATGGTGTGGTGTGTTTACTGGCTCAGCAGCTTCCGCACACACTGCTGGAGCATAAAGCCAGGTTGACGGACGCTCTCCAGAGGGACTGTACAGTCGGAGCTGGGGAAAGAGGAAGATGTCAGTGGCAGTGAAGAGAGGGATAAGCGCTAAGGGAGAGTCCAGAAAATGCGCCGCGCGTTTCTGGAGGCTCTTTCCTCACCTTTTGCTGTGTCTGTCTCTGGTGGCGTACGCAGCGCTGGGTGCGCTTTTGTTCCAGCACATAGAGGGAGAGAGCGCGTCCACAACCCAGCAGGAGTACCGCGAGTTCCTGGGACAGATTGTCCGCACCGTCCAGAACTTAACCGGTGAGTGGTCACATGTATCTGCCGTGGTTCGCTCTGATATCAGCAACCGAAGTTCTATCGACATCTATTTTTTTCCCATTCTAATGCTGGTAGGAAACAGGACCCGGACGTGAATATTTCCTTGATACTAACAATATTTAAACATTCATTGCTCCCAGCTCTACACTAAACATGTTCTCCTTATTTTCAGCTAACGCCTCCATCACACATCAGGACATAGTACATAAAGTGGAGTTTGAGATGCAAAAAGGGTTCAAGTCCATATGGTTCCAGAGACCTGAAAGGTGGACTTTTTTTGGCTCCATGTTCTTCTGCTGCACTGTATTCACAACAGTCGGTAAGACAACACGATTATTATACTAACTGCAGATTGATGTGCATATACACATACAACTATAATATAAATATAATGTATATATATTTATATACACACTCACACATATTCACCATTAACTAGTTTCCTATTAGCATTCATATTAGCAGCACAATGGCTCTTTAGTATAATTATATATGATTATAAATCACTTATTAATGCCGTATTCTGCATGACCATATCTTACAACTATCGGACATTAACAGAGTTTTCCCTCAATAACTAACCTAATTACAGCTTATTGATAGTAAGTAAAGTAAAGGAAGTTGTTGTACATAAATAATAACACTTATTTGGTATGTTCTTATGTAACTTAAGTGTTAAGAGTGTCCAAATAACTCTGAATTAAGTGTTTCTAACTCAGAACTCACATGTTTCTTATTTTAAAGCAAGCTCTCGCTCATAACTAATTTGCTCAGTATAGATCAAACTTGTTTTCAACTTGACTTGAAATCTTTTACAATTTTTGAATTTATCACAGTTTAGGCTTAGTTATCAATAACTTCCTAATTAGAGCCAACAATACCGAGCTTTGTGTGGCCGTCAGCATGTTGGCAGTCCTGACTGGTTCTTGACTATTCCAAAAATGGGCAAAGAGGTAAGGCGTGGGTGGAGATGAGGTGGGCTGAATGAAACCTGTCTACTGAAAACATCCATCTGTGATGGCACCTGCCTTTAAGCTTTAAACAGGTGAGTTATAGGGTAGGTGAGGTATTATCACACAACTATCTCCCTCGGCTTTGTGGGGCTTTTCAGTCTCTTTCAGCTAATTGTTTTAATGTTACATCCTGCAACTGTACAGTTTTGGTTCAGCACTCCCATCAACGTTGTGTTCAGCAGCCGAGGCAGCAGGCAGACACGTTTTCAGCTAGCAGGAACACACTAACCACCTGATCTTATGTTGGAATCCTGAGGATGAGGGGGGAAAAAACAGTCACAAAGTTTTTTCTGCAAAGGATTTCAACTCAGCTAAACTGTCAAAACGCTGTTATGTCTTGGTGACAGATAATGCAGGTGTTTCCAAACTTTTTCATGTCTCCTCAATAGATGCACATTAGACTATGGACCTCCAATTTAAGTGGATTTTGTCTAAAGGAATCCCCTCAACCTGGGATCACTATTCACCGATCAACCATAACATTCTGACCACCTAGGTGACCACCCTGGTGATCATAATGTTATTCAATTCAATTCAATTTTATTTGTATAGCGTCAATTCATAACAGAAGTTATCTCAGGACACTTTTCAGATAGAGCAGGTCTAGACCGAACTCCTTATAACATTTACAGAGACCCAACAGTACCACTGTGTGTTCTGACACCTTTCTATCAGAACCAGCATGAACTTTTTCATGAGTTTGAGCTACAGTAGCTCGTCTGTTGAATCAGACCACATGGGCCACCCTTCACTCTATCAATGAACCATGACCCTGTCTCCAGTTCATTGCTTTTCCTTCCTTGGACCACTTTTGATGGGTACTGACCACTGTGGATCAGGAACACCCCACAAGAGCTGCAGTTTTGGAGATGTTCTGACACAGTCGTCAAGCCATCAAAATTTAGCCTCTGCTTTTAACACATCAACTTTGAGGACAAAATGTTCACTTGCTGCATAATAAATCCCACACACTGACAGGTGCCATGATAACTAGATAATCAGTTTTAACCACTTCACTTGCAGAATGTTATGCCCAGTGTATGTTACAATTAATCAAAATTGCCATCTCTGTGTCTTCCCTTGTTGTTTCAACCAAACTCTGAAAGAGGTGATAGAAGTTATAATACCCTATTCCTCCTTTTGTTGGGGACCCCCTACAACCTGCTAAAGGACCCCTGTTACTACAGAGATAACAAATGTTACTGTAATATTGAAGGTTTAGGAAGGAGAGCTCTTTTAGACTGCCAAAAATGTTATTGGACCAAATGGATCATATTCTGATGTGAAGTCATTAGGCAGGGGTTTATGACGCTGTATCCACCGTTCTACAGCCACTTCTTTCACAATGAAAGCTAATGGGAAAAAGTATTTTTGGGGCAGTGTGCATCACGTCATGGACACCATTGCTGTAATCACACCATTTGGCCACTACATCAAATTGGTTTCAAAGCCTGGCACACTTCTTGGGGCTTGGGTGACACAAGCGTGCCATAGGAATTTAAAATAAAAGCATATCTTAAAGATGATGATAGGGATATTTGTTTTCACTTCCCAATGATATTAGATCATCAATCATTACTACAGATCCAGATTGATGGATCGTTGCTTTCCAAGTTTACACATAACCTTGATAAACTAGCTAGACTCACTTTGTGAAACACCCTGATGTCAGGTGCCCAAACTTCACTGAAACATCACTTGTTAGGCCTTTAGAAACAAGCCTGTGTGACATTGAGTGATTCCTGACATCTCATTATTCTCTGTTTATTTTCTCTATTGTGGTTTGTGTTACTTATGGTTTGGTGCACTTTGATGCTAATGACTGTGCACTCAGCTCCTTGTATTGACGTTGCCAGGCAGTAAAAGCGCTTGCTACATAACTGCGACTTAGTCAATGTGTGTGTGACAAGCAGTAAGCCATATGTATACATATCAGGGGGCCTGATTTTGCTCATAATAATACTGTACTTTACACATGACAACTGTTGACACTTTTGTTTATTTCTTGTAAATGTGGACTGGAGCAGTAAGCATTTTATTGGAGGAGGGTTCAAGCTTTCATACTGAGCATCACAAGAAATAATAAAGTAAAACTCAAGTGTCCTTGAGCAAGATACTGAACCCCTAAATTGCTCCAGATACAGTACATCACTGTATGAATGTGTGTGAATGTGGCATTTAGTGTAAAAGCACTGACTGTTTGGAAGAAAAAAGTGTACTTACCATGTTGGAGTTTTGTGTTTTTCATTTTTGTTTTCCTTTCAGTTTCATTTTAGTTAGTTTCCACAGTGGGTTTGCTCATTTTTTAGTGTTTCAAATGTTACAGGGAGTATTTGTCAGGGGCAAGATTTAAGAAGTTCAAATAGTTAGTACAATATGAACACATCTACAGTCATGTAGACATCTCAATTAACATGAACCAATACTTCCTCATGCTTGTTGTGTTAACAAATTTCACCAAATGGACAAAGAATAAAACGAAAGACATTTACTGTAATAGTTTCTATAGTTTTTTTACTAAAAAAACTGAACTGCTTTTTCCACCTAGTTTCAAGTCAAGACTTAAGTATAGCCTATATAAAATGTTTTTTACCTGAAATGAGCCCATATTTATCATGTAATATCATATTGTTAAGCAAGATGGAGCCACAAATGTCCGCCTCGGTGTGTTGGTGCGCATTGTTCTTCCTTGTTTTGTAAGTAAATTCAGTTTTCGAATTTGAACAATTCAATTCAATTCAATTCAATTCAATTTTATTTGTATAGCGCCAATTCATAACAGAAGTTATCTCAGGACACTTTTCAAATAGAGCAGGTCTAGACTGAACTCTTTAAAACATTATTTACCGAGACCCAACAGTACCACCATGAGCAAGCACTTGGTGACAAGGGGAAGGAAAAACTGCCTGTTAAAAGGCAGAAACCTAGGACAGATCCTTCGGCTCTAGGTGGGTGGTCGTCTGTCTCTACCAGTTGGGGTGAAAGAGAGAGAGAGAGAGAGAGAGAGAGAGAGAGGGAGAGAGAGAGACAGAGAGAGAGAGAGAGAGACAGACAGACAGACAGACAGACAGACAGACAGGTGCACAGCAACAACATTATTGGCAATGGCAATCTAGCGGGGCAGGAGGCACCACCAGGATCGACAAGAACCTGCGAGACGAGAAAGCACAAGAACTCCGGGGAAGAAGTGAAGTTAGTAACATGCATTAATGGAACATGAATGAGTGCAGAAAGAGAGAGGAAGAGAGGAGCTCAGTGCACCATGGGAAATCCCCCAATAGTCTAGGCCTATAGCACCATAACTAAGGGATGGTTCAGGACTCACCTGATCCAGCCCTAACTATAAGCTTTATCAAAGAGGAATGTCTTAAGCCTACTCTTGAATGTGGTGAGGGTGTCTGCCTCCCGAACCACAACTGGAAGCTGGTTCCACAGGAGAGGAGCTTGGTAACTGAAGGCTCTGGCTCCTGTTCTACTTTTAGAGACTATAGGAACCACAAGTAGCCCAGCATTCAGAGAACGTAGTGTTCTAGAGGGGTAATAGGGTGCTATGAGCTCTTTAAGATATGAAGGGGCCTGACCATGAAGAGCTTTAAAGGTGAGGAGGAGGATTTTAAATTCTATTCTACATTTTACAGGGAGCCAGTGCAAAGAAGCTAGTACAGGAGAGATGTGATCTCTTTTTCTAGTTCCTGTCAGTACTCGTGCTGCAGCGTTCTGAATTAATTGGAGCGTTTTAATGGACTTAACAGGTCACTCAGATTAGAAAACTAACCATGTTTGTATGTATTTTACAGTAGGTAGTGTACAGCGCTGCAGAGGATGTGCAGAGGGAGCAGCTGTCTAGTAATTGAAAGGTTACTAGTTTAATTCCCAGCTCAGAGCTTTGATTCTCTGCCCAAACCCAACTGGACCCGACCCAACCCCCAAATGCTGCAGTAGGTCAGGCTCATTTCGGGAATGGATATTTTATTAACAATGCACAAGTCTGTGAAATATCAAAAAGGAAATTGAAATTTGGGTTTGGCCTCTTCTGCCTGTTGGGAAAAAAATGTTTGGGCTTGGGTCGGGTCCATGGCATTTCCAGAGGTGTATATTTTCGGATTAGTTATTTTCCTATCCAGCATTTTGATAAATGTTCAGATCTAACACTTTTATTTTTAGTTGATCATTGATGCAGCATAATGTATGTGTTTAGATAGCATTTCACACAGTGTGCTTTCTCTGGTGCATAAATCTAGCACTGGGACAATTTTATTTATTACCTTCGGATTGTATTAATATTGACTGATACTCCCGGTTATGT